TTAATGTTACTTCACATTTTATGGGAATGTTTGGCTAATTAAAAATGAAATATTTATTTGAAAATTTGGATCGTTACAAACACTCATGTGAAACCAGTCTCAAACTAATGAAATGAAAAGGTTTTAAAAATGATTTTCAAAATTTTTTCAAAATAATCAAGAGAGGATGCGATGTGTATGATAAGTCGGAGCCAATAAGTAGACCCCAAATTACCGCACTGTTATTTAATATTGTGATATGTTAGAACAACATGCTAGTGATAGGCTAGGGATCTTTAGGAATCGCATGATAGAATTGTCTGATTATATGATGCTTGATAGCCTAGGGTTTCCATGTATGAAATTGACATCATTACTGTAGTTGCTTAATGTATGCATCAAAATTGTACATAACTAAGATTTTATAGTCTAAGAATGTTTGATTTAGGGTTATTTCATTTTCCTTGTTTGGTTATGGGCTTAGGGTAGAATCAAGTATTCGACTGTCTATATGATCTAGTGTTATGTGTGATTAGCATACGCGAATGATGCAGAGTTGGTGGATGTTTCATGGATGAGTTATGTGGGGTCAGTCGACCGGTTGATGGATGTTTATCCTTTCTCTAGGAAATGAGAATAGGGTGTATGCATATTCTAGTGAGTGTTGTTAGGGTTGATCCCTAAACGTCTTCTTAAGTCTCCTTATTACCCAAGGAAATATCCTTCCTACACCTCATCCAATATGGAATAGTAGAACTAGAAATTAACAATATTACGTACCATAGAAAGGATTGTTTAATGTGACAATCTCATTGACATTTATATGTCTACCAATCTGGCTTATCTTTAGCGAATAATGCACATTGAGATGGACATCCACTACACCCATGATTAGGTTATTTTGGGGCACAATTTCTCCATGTTATCTCTAGTTCTCAGTATGTTAATGTCTTTACAAAAGGCTTCCATCGTCTTTTATTTATTAGTTTTGGTCTTTGGACCATTTATTTGAATAAAACTTCGACATAATGGTAATGTATATAAATGGCGTATAGTTTGGCCTATGTTACATCCATTTTGTCCACCCTACTTTATTTTTGTTAGAACTTTGTGCTTATCTCGTCTTAATGAAAAAATATATATTATTAAAAAATACTTATTTATGAATAGGGAAATCTCCAAAAAAGTCCTAAAACTTTAATCTAATTTATGAAAAAGTTCCGAACTAATTTTTGTTTACAAAAAAGCATAAAATACTACTGGCTAAAACTTCGAAAAAACTCTTTTTTGCCGGTTTCATAGAATTAGCCGGTATTCTGTCCTTTTTCGTTAGTTTGCTCAAAATATCATGACTTTTCTGAAAATTAACCGATAACCAAAATACTGGGACTTTTTTTGAAAATTACTATGGAATTAATGGATATTATTATTAACAAATCATTTATCAACATAAAAAAATATTTTTTATTATAAACAAAGGAAATACATTTATTGTTAATTTCTAGGAATAGAATGGTCGATTATGTATTTCTCTATTATTTGTTGACCACTTCAAAGTCTCTATGTTCTTCCTAAGTATCGTTGTGGGTGTCATAGTGAGAAGTACTTTGTTAGGCGTGACCAATACAAGAGTTGATCATATTTATTAATACGCAAGCAATAAGTGTCTCCTTGCTATTAGGGATGATGCTATATGATCACATGTTATTAGATAGTATCATTACACGAACATATAGATCTTTCATTATGTTCTTTAACCTAACTACCACCTAACCACAAAACATTATCCGGTAACAACCATAAAATTACACACATCTATCAAGAGTGAAAAGTAAACTCTGAATGACAATTTAAATAGATAATCACCATTCACTTGTTTCCATATAAATTATCATCCACGGTTCACTTTTCACATTTTATAGATGTATGTTAGCCGATGGTTGCTAACATGTGAGGTATGAATGTTGTTTGGTAGTTAGGTTAAACAACATAAGATGAACACCAACATTAGAGGAATGCTAACTAAGTACATCTCACCATCATATCCACAACAATGCATAGGAAGAACGTAGAGAGTTTGAGTGGTAGGAAGCAATATAGGAGTACTTAGACCATCAATTTTTTCATAGAAATTAACAAATGTATTTCCTTTTTTTATACTAAAAATATTTTTTTATGTTTATAAATGATTTGTTAATAAAAATATCCATTAATTTCATGGTAATTTTCAAAATAAGTTCCAATATTTTGGTTATCAGGTAATTTTTGAAAATGTCACAAAATTTTGAGCAAATTAACGAAAAAAGACAGAATACCAGCAAAATCTGCGAAACCAGCCAAAAAGGTTTTTTTTGAAGTTTTAATAGGTATTCTATGCTTTTCTATAAACAAAATTTAGTTTGGGACTTTTTCATAAATTTGACTAAAATTTTAGAACTTTTCTGGAGATTTTCCTTTATGAATATATCGAGAATTAGTGTGTTTTTGACAGAGAGCTTTTAACTTTTAATTTCTTTTAGGCGCTTTTAACTTTTAGTTTATAAGAAAAAATTCGAATTGAAGAAAAAAATAGAAACTTTGTATGGTTAAACTACTTGAATGAGCTTTTGAGTTATGACCTTTTGTTTAAACTAAAAATTTGAGTTCTAAAATATTTATAATTTTTTAGAGATTTTAACTTTTAGTTTTATGTAATTTGACATTTTTAAAAAGTTATAACAAATTTATCAAACACTTATACACAATAAAAGGTCTAGCTTTGGTACAAGTTATAACTTCTTATAGGCTACAAACATTTAGCTAGTTTTTGCCAAATATATAGTAATTTATTCAAAATTTTATATTTGTCATTACATAGTTTATATCGAAAAGCATAAATAGATGCCCGGGACTAAAAAAGGGAAAGGATGTAGATGAAAGAAACAAAATATAATGGTAAAATATGAATGAAAAAGGACAACAATCGATTACTTTAAAAAAAGTCGACATATATTGAAATTTTCATATCTCAAGCTTCTATACAATCTAATACATCGTGTTTATATATATAATATATATATATATATATATATATATATATATATATATATATATATATATATATATATATATATATATATAGAGAGAGAGAGCCAGATTTACGTGTTTAATCTAATTATTATGTTATTGTATGCATAAATGTGGGTCCATCAAAATTAAATAATTAAATAAATAAATAAGGGTAATAAAGTAATTTTGTAAATAACTTCCACAAATACTTCCTATAATTATGCTAGTTATTTTGAATTTGACCTAATTTCTTCTCATTCTTATATACGACATTCACTATCAAAAACCCTATTCCACCATAAAAATCTTCCATCGACGACCACCCCCTCGATTTATGGTGGTTGTCGAGGTCAACACAAATAATAACCCTAAATATTACACACTAAAATAGTGTATAGTGGTAAAGGGATCGAATCCACGGAGATTGGTTCAATTTGATAACTCTATGAAAAATCTCTTTGTAAAATACTTGGAATATGACAATAAATTAAAAATGGGGGTTTTGATGTTTTGAAATACTTGAAACAAACTAGAATTAACTATGATTTAAATAGACAATTGCAACAAAAATAAAAATTTGATGTAAAATCAATAAGGGAAAGATGGTTGACTTAAAGTTTTCTCACTTTGACTTTTGATGAACATATCATTAGAATCCAATAGTGCAATACTTTGATTTAAATCCTTAATTTGGTTATAGTAATCCAAGGAGCTTGAGATTACCTAGACTTTTCTTAATTGTTGAAATGGCTAGAGAAGCTCATAACAATTTCCTTAGTCAAAGTCACTAATTCCAAATAGCATGTAATTAGTTCCAAATAGCATGTAATTAGTGAAAGTCAACTAGCATTAAGAACCAAAAAATCACCAAATCCAAGAGGAGTCAATTGCTTTCACCACCATGTTGGAGGAAATGTTTTTATGATTGTGTGAAGCAAAAACAACACAAAAATCACTTGTTGCTTGCTAATTTGAGGATCATTTACTTAATCAAGAAATTAGCCAACTAATCACCACAAACATATTTAAACTCATGAATAAAAACATACTAGTAGTGATAATATGATGAAACACAAAACATTTCCATAAAGATTCAAGAACAAGTTCATAGATTCTTCAACATCCAACAAAAGTTCAAAGGATTCAACAAAAAGTCAACCAAGATTTGTTTAGCCAAGCATGGCTAAACTCAAATGAACAAAGTTAGATAAGATTGTACCAAACATTTGACAAGATTCAAGAGGTGAAAAGAAGATGTTCTTGAGGTGTTCTTGGCCTTCAAAAGCACTCCAAACTCCAGAGAGAAAAGCTCAAAATCGGATCTCCAAGATAATGCTAAAGAGGCACACCAACCTTCCCAATATAGAGCTCTAAGCAAAATCCCAAAATTGCCCTTGTCAGGAATCCAGGCGGGCCGCGGGGAATCTTACGCGGGCCGCGGGTACTGACGGGAATTTTGGGCTTCTTCAAGTCTTGGGCCCCCACAGCTAATCCGTTGGCCCAGTTCGAGTCCAATCAGCTTCTAGCCCATTTTCTTCAATGTTTCTTCAATTTGAGCCCAATTTATCTTTCCACATCACTCAAAACTTCCGCAAACTCCCAAATATTGATCTTGCATACTCAAGAATTCTCCCGCATCTTTCAAATTTAAAGCTCAATTCTTCCAAGCCTTCAAGCAATTGACAAGTCCACCCCATGAATCACCTTCATAGCCATCAAGCATGAAATCTCCAATTCCCTTCAAGCCCAATCGCCTCCCAAGAGTGCCGCCCCGCTAGTTTCCAAGAAAATCTGCAATAATGCTCAAGAAACTAGAAAGTACCCCGAAATGGTCATAAAAATAACAAAAGGGAAAATATGCATGAAAGTTAACTAAAATGCGAATGAAATGTACTAAAATAAACTATAAAAAGAAGTAAATAAAATGAAGCTATCAATTTACAACAACGCCTCACTGCTTCCACCGATCCCCATCAACAATCTTCTTTGTACCAAAGTTCATCATCGCCATCGTTCATAATCTCGAAGAGGAAGGTCGGAGCTGGCTTCCATTGCCGACTGAATTGTTGCACACTGTTGTTCTTCACACACTCACCCCCTAAACTCTCTATTTCATCCGTACCTTTTATCTCCACAATCGGCATGGCGTTGATCAACGTTTGAGGCGTTGGTGGCTGGCCGTCCTTCCTCATCAGATCGTTCATCAAGGATTCGAAACCTAGTAGCGCCACCTCCAATCACCACCATTCCTTGCGTCACCGGGTTGATCAGGACGATCCTGTCGAGTGACGAACCCTGATGATGAAGATTGTTTGTAGATTCATGATCCGGATGTTCGGAATCGCGACTTGAATCCGATTTCGGCCTGGTGGTTGTGAAGCCTGAAAGGAAAGGCATCTCCATGAGCCTCTCGATCAAACGATTACTGATAACTCTGGTTTTGAAGCCATTTAAGAACAAATTTGTAGTGTTTAGTGGGTGTTTGAGTGTTTCTGCTACTAGATCAAAATTGAAAAGAACAGTAAAAGTGGAAGTTGAATTTGAAATGGTTAATTTTTTGGGAGAGCTTAAAAACGAAGGGGAAGAAGGGTGTAGAAGGCTCTCTAATGTTGTGTGCAGACAATTTTTTTTGCTATAATACGCCAAGGGGTTTGGTTAAGGCTATTGCCATGGCAGGTTTATTTCAGATGACATAAACTGATAATCACAATCCATATTTTTTCCTTTGAATTAAGTTGCTAAAAATGTTCATTTTTGATGTTTCTGATTAGGTTGAAGCTTTATCATGTCAATTGACACAAAGGGAAGGAGATTTGGTTCAAGAAAAGTTTGAGGTTAAGAAGCTTGCAAGTTTTCTAAAGCAGGTTACTTTGACTACTGTAATTGTTTACATTTTACTTAATGATTTTTAATTATTGAAAGCTTTTTATCATATTCTATTATGTTATGATAATGTTGTGCAAGACTATCCATTGTGTGAATTCCTAGAAAGACATATTGAAATAGATGGATTTGATGTTTTATTTTAATATGTTTAATTTGAAAGTGTTTGCAGGCTTTGACAAAAACGAGGCTTATGAGGTAATTCCAATTTGTTTGGCTGCATTTTATGAATTGATTCATATTTCAATTTATGTTTTTTTTTTCTTCTGATTTAACACTTCATTTATGTGGACAGCGCAGGATCTTGACAAGGTTGAATTCTGAAAAGGTATCAAGTATGTTTATGTAGACGATATTGGTGAGATTCCAATTCTATTGGAATGGAATCACGTATTCCAATTCTGTTGGAATGGAATCACAAATTCTTATTCTGTTGGAATCACAGAAGTTGATGATTGAAGAACGTACCACAAAATTGAAATGGGCCACATTATTCTTTTAGAATGTATTAGACGTTGTTAGATTTTGATGCTTTATTTCCCGTTTTGAAAGTTTTTTCAGTTTTATTCTTTAACAATAAATGTAATTCTTAAAATTTTTTACCCGTATTCTATAAGAAATAATGTATTTTCTGTTTTAATTCTTCAATTTATTGTTCAAGAATTTGTTATTCTACAATAAATTTTTAAATTCAGGATCAACAATTAGGTTCAAAAATATTTTTATTTTCTATGGTTCAAGAATATTTTTATTTTTTAATAAATAATTAAATAAATAAATGTGTTCTGTCATAATATCCGAATTAAAATAGTTATAATTCGTAAAATCGGATTTTTAAAACTAATAGAATCTATGATCCCTTAAAATATGCAATTTTCCTTTATTAAATCTATATTAATTGATTAAAGTACCCTTGTAATTAAATTAGATGATATTTTTCAATTACATTTCATTCAATAATATATATTAATCACTTTTTTAAAATAAATAAAATTGATTAGCCCACAGTTATCCATACAATAACACAATAATTACTTTGAATAGAAATAACCTTAGCATATATATATATATATATATATATATATATATATATAATATATATATATATATATTATATATATATATATATATAACCTAGGCATATATATATATACACACACTAGTGGTGCACTCACGCAAAGCTGCGGCGACGTATATT